TAGTGGTTTGTGAAGCCATAGAAAAGAAGAACTCCTGTGTTCGAACTTATAAATTAGCAAAACGCTTAATAGTAAAAAAATGTGCATAGGCGTTTAATTTCCACTCCCGCCAGTTCGATGGGGTGTTTGCAGGTATGCGATCCAACTGCCTTAAGTCTTGACCCCCCAATCCGCGGGACCAACCCTGAACGCACTGTTAATGACTTCAAGGCTAGTATCGCCGCTCTGCTACCTAAGTGAATATTCACTTCTTTGAAGGAAGCTGCACTCCGGAGCAGTAGATTGGCTACTACCTTAATAGCTGAAACCTCGGCTTGGAATACACTGCAATGGTCAAGAAGACTGAAGCTGGAGTTGATAGAGAGCTCCTGACAGTAAACCAATCCACCAACTTTCCCCCAAACACTGATCCATCCGTAAAAAAAACTCACTGTCCATGTCCTCCAACGGCTTCTTTTCAGCCATAACTCCCTTGTCGGTATATGGGCAGAGGCCGCCAAAGTTCGATTTGGCGACTCCATGATCCAAGTATGAAGTCAAAGTGTGGAAGATATCCGAGCGTCCGTATACGTCTTCTTTTAAGAGCCCAGATACTCGTTATGTAAGGTTGGAGTAGACCTTAGTACATCACGCATGCTGATGATGCCGCTCGTTCAACGCTCTCGATTGTCTTTGCAAGTGTGGTCTTTTTTAGAGCCCTCCGCTATATAAACACTATATTAAGGAGTAAAGTTAAAGAGCAAAATCAACCGATTCTCAAATTTAAGTAAAAAGTACATAATCTGCCCAGGCAAATTTATTGATGAGGCATAGTCAAGAGGAGAGAACACTATGGATCACAAGTCTCAGTATAAACCTCAATTATCTATAGTTTGAGTGCCGAGCCGACTTATTGTAGAAGATCTATTACCTCGTACTAGCACTTGTTAGAACGTGCCGTTAATATCGATTGAATTTCCTGAAGTAAACGGCTATCTCTCCGACCTTTACCGTTTCCTCACTGCACGGAACCTAAAACTTCCCCCCACCAAATCCTTGACTTGAGCTAAATATTGGCGTCGATGGCATCAAAATTCCGACTGTCAATAATCCTAAGGTTTTAGGTGTAACTTTTGACAGTTGACGTTGTTGGCACAACACCAAGAAGGAATGCCGCCGTATGTGCGTCTGTATATACGCGGACTAGTTCCACCAGTTTTTGAGCTGTCGTTCTGACATGTTGTACAATCCCTTTTCTTCCTAAAAAACTGTTCATTTGTCGGAACCATTATAGCATATAGCTTAAGCTAATCGATCAAAATCAACTCCTTACAGATAAACTTTTTAATTTGACAAGATATCTTCACGAAAGTGAGGCATAGATTTTTCTCAAGACAACGTTACAATCTTCGATAGCTTTCATTCAACGTGACCACCGGCCAGTTACATTTTCAGATTTTATTACTATAAGAATTGCATTGTAAAGGGCATTAATGCTTTGGGTCTACCGAAGGTATCGTTTTTTCTTATTATTAGTCAGAGAAACTAATGCAGTCGGTATCATTGAAAGATACTGTTATATTTCACATGTACAACTTCAAATCTAATAGCGGTACGAAGCTCAATTGATATTGAGAAAAGTTTTTTTTTTAATATCTGTCGGCTTGTAATAATAAAACCTTCAGATAATTTCTGATTTAAACATACTGTTTATTTGCCGCTCGAAAGGTTAGACAGTGAGGGCGTCATTGCAAGCTTCGATAACATGTCAACCCTTTTTATGAGTAGATGGAAGATGTATGGTCAAACACCTTGCAGATTTATATAAAGACCCCTAGTATTAAAGCGGTCATACCTCAATCACATCTGTTTTCATAAAATATTAATAGTGATTCTACAATATATTAATAGTTAATAAATTGCATTTGTTACATGATCAGATTAGGAGATGTTACACTCCTCCTATGAAATTCTTAAACACCTTGCATTTACTAAAATAAATTATTACATTTTTACTTTATATATAAAAATTAAACAAAGTGTATGTGTATGTATATATACTGTCTCTTATACACATCTAGATGTGTATAAGAGACAGATGTTACACTCCTCCTATGAAATTCTTAAACACCTTGCATTTACTAAAATAAATTATTACATTTTTACTTTATATATAAAAATTAAACAAAGTGTATGTGTATGTATATATATTTTGTATACGAAGACGTTCCTATGAGGTTTGTTAATAAATCAAATGCAAACAACATTTCAAATACCTTCACACTGAAAAAAGGCTGTTATACAATAAAAAATGGTCAATGCTCATCAGCAAAAAATAAATAAATTTCCACACACTTACATTGCTATGTGCATACCTACAAACTGCATTAGGTTATGCCTGCATTGAAAAGCTAATTTAACATTCTATTGATTAACATATTAATATATTCATAGTCATATGAATCAAGAATCGTAGTCAAATGCGCTATGACCAGTAAACGCGCTAGCTTCGGCGGCGGTGAGCGTGGTGAGGATATTATTTCGAGTGCAAATTGTTGGGGTATTGAAGATGTGCGCATATGTAGTACAGTAATGTTCATATTTATAGCAGTGCGAATTGGAATATGTTCCAACAAAAAAAAATTCTCAATAGTAGTGTAACTTAAAATTGTGCTTTTGAGTTTGGAGAACAAGAAATAGCTTTAACTTCGGTTGCAGTCAAGCTATGACTCCGAATTTCGGTAGTAAATTTTAATTCGACTCGTTGGTGGATCGTATATCTTTTCACGATGCATCGGCAAGCCTTACTGAAAAGAAATGTCGAAAGACCGGTGAAAATAAGATGCCCTTTGCTGCCACTATCGGTCTACTTTTGTAGCGTCTCTATCAAAACGCTCTTTACATACATATGTATGTATATTTTATAAGGTCTCCGACGTTTATTTTTGGAAAACTTAATATATTCTCTCCAGGGTGTAATTAATATTGAATCGGGTTAGTTTAAAGTTAGTTGATCGAATTTTTGAGTTGTTCATTAAACAGCAATTTCTTTAACTGTTTGTTTGAGCTTCAAAAGTGTCATTATTGTTAAGCCAAGTTGAACAAATTAAATTAATGTAAAATATAATGGGCCAAGCCGAAAAGTCTTAAAAATTTTTTGGAAAAATGCAAGGATATACAAAAAATAATACCAGAGTTGTGAACAGTGGTATTAATTTACCTAAAAATTAAAAAATTTGCGGCTCAAAAGGTTGGACAGACGAATAAACCGACCGAAAATTCATTGAATTAGTTAGAAGAGCTACTATTAGCTCTCAGAATGGAAGGGCGAGTTAAATTTGGCATGAGATATTGACATCAGAAGAGATTCCGGCCACCTTTTCGATACAATTTTTGTAGCACGATTTATCTTTTGCTTCAAAAAACTCCTCAGTTTTGACGATTACCCCTTTCGAAGAAAATTTCTTCCCAACGTGCATTCTTTTGAGATCTGAGAATAGGAAATAGACGCTGGGGGCCAGATCTAGATAAAACGGTTAATGCGGAAGCAATCCGAACACTAATTCATAGATTTTTGACTTCGGTTTAATTGACTAGTGGCATGGTGCATTGTGTTGGTGAAACATTACTTTCTTTTTCTTCAAATGCGGTCGTTTTTCTGCGATTTCGTTCTTCAAGCGATTTAGTAACGATTTGTAATAGTCACTGCTTATGGTAATTCCTTTTACAAGGTTGTCAATAAAAATTACTCCATGCGCATCGCAAAATAGAAATGACATAACCTATCCAGCCGACTTTTTTAGCGAGTTCATTGTATGTAGTCCACTCGGATAACTGTCGATTCGATTTCGAAGTGAAATAATGGAGCCATGTTTCATCCATTGCCGGACCTTGGCACAAAAACTCAAGCTCATTATGCTTGAACATCTCCAAACCCTGCTCCGAATCATCCACTTATCGTTGTTTTTGATCAAAAGCGAGCTCGCCCTGCACCCACTTTGCACTGAGCTTTCTCATATCCAAATATTCGTGATATCTTAGAGTGCCTGCTATCTTGAACAACTTCACTTTACGGCTATCGAAATTTATTTTGCAGACTTTTTTGATGTTTCTTTGGGTAACAACCTCCTTTGGGTGTCCACTATGTTCACCGTCTTCGGTACTCATTTCACCACGTCTAAACATAGCATACCAATTCTTGATGGTTGATTTTCCTGTGTCCGGAAACTCGTCATCAAGCCAAGTTTTTGCATCAACTGAACCTTTTCCCTTCAGAAAGCAATATCTTCCTCATTCCAAAAAGTACAATACTATTTTTGTGAACATAACTGTTTTTTGGTCTTTGCCGGCGTCTATGCAGCGGAATGGAGCCGCACAAAATGAAAACAACAACAATTTTGATGCTGGACACTTCAAGAATAGAAGCTAAAAGAGCCCATCATGGCTAATGCACATGTTAATATATAACCATATACTTCTGCAACACCAATACCACCAACAACACGCCAGAGCCGTGCTATGCAACAGACAAACTCAGTCAAAGTGTTGAGATGTAACGGAGAAGAGCCACCACACTGAATTTCGCAGATCGAGTGCAATATACACGCAAGTCCGTTATACTCGTACGAACATATAGATATGTTCATATGTATGTAAGTATGTGTGTTTGCATGACTGTGTGTTCATGCAACTGAGCAGTTTGGGCCATTGTTAAAGATGTGGCTTAGTGTTAGTACATACAGCGGTACATACATACAAGCATACAATGCAACAACAACACCAGCAACACTAATAACATTTATAAAAAATCAAGCAGCAGATATTCGTAACGAAGAGACGAGAGCATCATCACCGGCTTTTGGTGACTGCCGCAGCTACCGCCACCACCACCACCGCAACTGCCGCAGCAACTGTTGCTGTAGCTTCTCCTCAACACCTTTGACCTATCCGATGTGCCGCACATTTGCCGCCAACTTCTCATATAAAAGACAAATGCAACGGCTCCAAGTGTCAGTACGAATTAAAAGCGTCTCGAGTACGAATACGGTTGGGCAAAAAAATTTGTGAACGAACGAACGTAGGGCAACTCGTGAAATACACTCGTAATACACTAACACTCTCACCACACTTGCTTAGAGGCGAAGTTAGTGATCGCGAAAGGTGTGCGAGCAGCGACAAAGGATTCAACGATTCGGTGGAGTCAAAAGTAAAAAAAAAACTTGTGCAACGATCGCTAAAAGGATTCTAGCAAAGGAGTAGAAATGGAGATTTTGTCCGCCAGAGTGTCGTTTGTCGCGTTGGTTGTGCTCGTTGCTTGTGTGCTGTTGGTGCAAGCACGACCACAGGCGCCTGAACAACCAGAGCCGGTAAATTCTAAAACTCCCTGTTTTTTCTATTTTTGGTTCTAAAGAGCAGTAGTTCTGCTTGTGAGTAGTTCATGAACTAAATGCTAACGCGAAATGAAAAATCGTTAAATTAAACAAAAACTTCAATGGAAGTCGGTAAATGAAAAAAATGCAAAAATAAATTATTTCTTTTTTCACTCGCATTGCGCAATCGCTGCGAAGTGCAAGCGCCGGTTAATTTGGAAAAATTACCCTGTCAACACTGATAAAAAGCAATCAAAGCAAATTGCTGTAGAACTGGCAGCGTTGCGCTTAATTACCAGCGCATAGGTACAGTAGAAGAATTTGCCTTGGAGTCTATTATATACTATTTTACTGCATATAATATATAAAACATATACTTATGTATGTAAATACTGAAGTTTGTTCTAGCTAGAAGCCCGAACGATAAATTTCTCTAATAAATTAACACTAACCGAAATTCTGATTTAAAAAAAGTTGGTGGAGTAGTTTTATATATGAAAGGATTAAACAAAAATTTTATTTCGAAATTTTTTTTTAATTTTTATAAAACTTAGAAAGCATTTCTATATATTTAGTTAGGGGTTTCATTTAATATCATAAAGTTATAAGTTATAACCATGACATGTAATAGAACAACAATTTGTTTAAATATGACAAGTTGTGAGTCCCTTAAGTACATATGCGTGGGTTTTGGCGTTAGAAGCATCGGTAAAAAAAAATATATTTTTTAAATTTTTTTAAATTTTCAAAAGACCTCAAAACCCCTACCTTTATACCATTTTTTCTGGAAGTAAGGATAGACGAATTCGATCTTTTATTTCAACATTGTAATAAGGATAAATTAAAAAATAATAAAATTATAGTTGCAATTAATTTTTTATTTTTTTAATCCCGAGAATCTAAATAAAAAATAATTTTCAATTTTCTAATTCCAAATACCGGATTAAAAAAACTTTAGTTCCAATTCTCCATTAAAAAAAATAAATTATTATTAATGTTTTTTCGCGATTTTTAGTCTAAATCATTTTTTAATGCCAAAAATTAGCATATACTGTCGTGGTGCCATCTAAACAAACTTAGGCAATAATCTGTGCCGAATTTAGTGAAAATATCTTGTAAATTAAAAAAAGTTTTCCATGCAAGCACTTGAGCGTGATCGGTCAGTTTATTTGGTTGTCCGATATGATAATATTATATGCCAATTTTTATTAAGATATATCGTCACATAAAAATTTTTCTACCGAGGTTTCAATTTCATCGATTATATTTTGTGGCAGTTGTTGTTGTAGCGGCAGAATTCTGGCGAGTTGACAACTGGATAAGAAATCCGTGCCCGTTCCTATTACGTAGACCCGACTGTCATGAGAACGGATTGTGTGGCAGTTATATCTACGGTGCTACGATATTTGCAATTCCGCCGAATCAGCAGTTTTTTGAGAGAAAGGTTGTGTTTCAGATCGATACTTTATAGGGTCTCTGAACTGTACAGAGAATAATAAACCAACATCATTTTAAAAACGGTTTACCTATGTAGCTTTAAATATTCTACAAAATAAATTTCAGAATTTTTTTTCGATGTCTGAAATGATTCTAGTATAAAACCTGTTCAACTCCACTTTCTCTATGGATTAATAATAATTAATCCTAACTCAATTCAATCACAAACTTTAGTTATTTATTTTTCTAATGTGACAGAAAGACTTCAGAAGCTATCAAGAATCATGTATGTAGTTCTCAAACAAACCGGTACGAAATACTCCAAAGGAAAAATATTAATTTCCAATCGCATTCTATTTGGAATTTAATTTAAAAACCAAATCGAATTATTGTGTAGTACCCGATTGTTCCCTGTGATCGTTTCTGGTAGATAACCGGTATCGAACGCCGATTTTTATAGGACGACTATAACAACAACTAAATGCTTTGAATTAATTGTTCAATCTAATTATCAAAAATTATCCAACGTTTGAGACTGGAATATTGAGGTGACATTTAGACAAACTACAAGTTTCGCTTTAATTTATGATATAGTCAGATTTTCTTATAAATTATAAGCAGCCAATAATAATATAAAGAAATTACAGCGGTTTAGAAGTGAATGACTGTCAGTGAATAAGTTTGAATAAGCAGATGAAATCAGTTGACTATCCGATGCTGATTATCTCCTGTTCAAAATTACTGTTTACAGTAGGGAAAGTGTAAGCCAATATTACAAAATTGGAATCGTGAGCTTAAACTGAAAAAATTATTCAATGTGAAATGTTATTCGCAAAAACGTTAAAATTTCCCATCATTTACGCAATATTAATAATACCTGAGTTTGTGAGCATCATTTGGATCGTCGTTTGTTAAAATTCCAACTGAAACCATGAGTTTTAGAAAAATATTGGAAATATAGATCCCTTAAGCTGGTAGAATCATCAATTTCAAGTCCAAAAGTAATATGCATTTGAATTTATTTCATGTCATTTTTCTCCAAATTTGTTATGTTGGTTATTGTTGTTGTGTTTTGTTTCGCAATCGCTGTTAAACATCACCTTGAATCTCACACCATCAAATGAGCTTGCAGGTAAAAAAAATAAAATACGACTCCAAGCAGGAAAAGGTTTAAATAATCTTTAACAATTAAAGTGTAAACCTCTACGTTATTTATAACCGAAACAATCCCGCATTCTTCTTTTATACTAGATCTCTAGACTTTGGTGCTGATAGCCAATCATTAATCAGCAAAACTTGGTCGCGGAACACGATAATACGAACTTCTTAATGAAAATACCTGAAATCAAAGCTAAAGAACCTAACTTGTTAAAAGCCGAATATTTTTGCTGTTGTAACGGGTACCTAATCCCCATTAGGATGGAAAGGAAGTTGTCGTCGACATCATCCAACGGTAGGCCTGGGAAACGTGATGTTTCGCTGGGGCCGCATCAAAGGGAAAGGAATGTCAGATGAGAACTGTCTATTCTGGATAAGAAAGAGTTTAATCTGCTGCAGTATCCAGAAGGGTGCTGCGCAAGGGTCATTCTCGTTTCTCGTGGCAACTCGAGCTCTGAGTCTGCAATGGGTGGTGGTTTGACTCCAAGTACTCCTTACTTTGGTGATAATCGCGGAGGTGAAGGTGCTTAGATTGTCAAAAGTCACACCTAAAATTTTAGGATTACTCACAGTCGGAATCTTAACGCCATCGACCACAATATTAAGGCCAAGGCTGTACCTCTCTGTCCAGTTGGTGGATATGTCCGCTATGGATTTAGTGGCGAAGAGTGTTAAGTTCCGTGCAGCGAGGAAGAGCGAAAGGTCGGAGAGATAGCCATTTACCTTTGAAAGCATGCCATCGATTCCATTGCCCGACGGCAATATCGTGCAATCATCAGATTACGAGGTGATAGAAATTCCTTCTGATGGTTTATAATGTTTCGAGATGTAAAGGTTAACCAATAGCGTGGAACCTCTTGTTTAATTTTTCTCAGTTTTGAGTTTTTACCTCGAAATAGTACGGATGATTGACGACCGCTCAGGTAGTTCATGGTCCACCCCTTCAGTCCTGGAGGGAGTGTAGTTTTTTCGTTGACCTCAAGTAGCGTTGTGGGATTGGCTGTGTCAAAAGCTTTTGATAAGTCCAACGCTACGAGGATCGTTCTCCTGCAAGGTGATTTCTGGTTAAGGCCATGAACTATCTGGCCGTTTATGACTCTAAGGGCTGTGGTGGTACTGGGCACTTTTCACAAGCCATGCTAATGGTTTGCTAGGCTCAGGAGGTGTGTGAAGGCCGGGAGTTGCAAAACCTCAAGTGCCATCACTATTTGGGAAGAGGAGAGCTATCGGACGATAGAACTCTCCTTTGTTGGCGGGAATCTAAACCTCTTATATATTAGTTTTTGCTTTAATAAGCTATACAAAAATAAAATAATTGATGTCTTGTAAATTTATCTGCTTATAGTATGAATATCAATATGAGGTTAAGGATCCCGAAAAAGAACTATTCTTTAACAAAAACGAAGCAGGCGATGCTGCTGGAAAGGTAAGCAACAACAACAGTTGAACTATTGAAATATAATGCTAAAACTTCACAGGTATCTGGTCAATACTCTGTGTGGCTGCCCGATGGCCGCCTTATGACCGTTGCCTACACAGTGGAGGGTGAGAATGGCTTTGTACCTAAAGTGACGTTCGATACAACAAACCCACTGGGTTAGAAAGCGGCTGAAACAAGCAAATAAGAACACGCAATAACAAAAAAAACGCATATCAAGGAGTACAATCAATCAAACAATCAAATGGAAAATGTGGAAAATGTTAAAAGACGTGGTGATGGTATAAATACAACTACAATAAAAGCAATTAGAACTTTTTAGGAGAAAGCGAAAAATAAATAAGTATTTAGTTAATTATTAGCTAAGTGGTAATATGCAAAAAATAGCGAAATATTGCATATTTAAGAAAGCAACAACACACACACATACATACACATAATTATATATGTCCAGAGCGAGATACGCAAACAGACATAGGTACGCAAAGGCATAAATACATGTATGTATGGCTAAACACATATGGAGGACTTAAGCATTAACATTGAATTAAAAGGCTTGTGTGCAGCAACAACAATAAGAAGAAAACTACAAGTTCTTCGCCATTAAAATGAAATTATCTTTTAAATGCGAGCATTGTAAATAAATTTTGAAATATACATACATATGTTTTTTCGCACTTATCGACGTGCACACATATGTATGCATATCTTTTCTCATTCTGTCAATTTCTACACTTTAGTTACATGATGTCTTCAACTATATTTTATAACTTTTTTACATATGTTAAATATTATACTACGATTTTGATATTGTTAATTTTATATAATACTACATATGCATATATATATTTGTATTAAATGTACATCATCTTCTTCGCTTTATGCGCGGAAAGCGTTCAGCGTTCACTATGTACCTTTGACAATACAAATCAAAAAATAACAATAATTGCAAATATGCAAAACGATATTTGTTACCGTTACACATAAGAATGAATGGAAAATGGCTCAATTATAAAGTAATAAAGGATTTCAACTTAAAAGAGACCACTAAACTTGTGACTTTATATTTTTACAAAGAGGTTTGACGGATTAAGGTAAGATAGAAGACCATAAGAAATAGCAATGAGCGTAATTTTCGGTATTTTCAGTCAATATATAACTCGGATCTCATTACAGAACTGATCTGACTATGAAAGTTAAATTCTGTTCACTTTTTAACATAAGTAAAAAGTAATTAACTCTAAATATGGTACAGAATATATATATATACATATATTGTGTATATATACAACTTTAAATATAACAACAATTAAATATTTATACTTACCACATTCTTCATATGCGTCAAAATGACAGCGACACCTTTTGTATCGTATTGTGGTCGTCCAGCGCGTCCAATCATTTGTAACAAAATACTCTCTGGATATTCCGTCATATTACCAAGGTGATAATACTAATGATTTACAATTGTTAATAAATTAGTATGGATGTTTGTATGTGTAAGCGCAAAACCATTTAGAAAATTACCTCAGTAGACTTGATGACCACAAGGCGTGCGGGCAAATTGACACCCATTGCCAAAGTGTTGGTGCAGAGCAAAACCATTAAGTTACCCTGACGGAAGCTCTCCTCAACTTTGTTACGATCACTAAAACTCATGCCGGCATGATGGTAAGCGATGCCATGTGCAATCAATTTGTGCAGTTTATTGTCGTCCAAGCTAAAAGTAGAAAAGACAGAAAACAAAAGGAAAGTGTAACAAACAATTACAGTATAACTGTTTAATTATGTAGTACACACACACACACACACATTCTGGATATTAGACACTTTACTCAATCTCTTTTTTTTTTTACTAAAACACGTCGGAGCTATACTAAACAGACTTAACAATTTCATTTCGCTAACATAAAAGGGTATGTATGTACATATATGCTATAGTATATGAATCAAAAAATATATTCGAATATTGAGGCTTTGTCTTGGGCAATAAACTATGACAAATATCATGAAGAAAAGTTTTCCATATAAGAACTTGATTTTGGCTGTTCAGATTATTTTGCATTTATATAATAAGCATATGTCACAATAGAACAATATCGCCGCGATTCCGACAAATGAGATTCTTGGCAAACTTAATATAGCTTGTTCGGGGCATTTTGAGTTTTTTAAAAATATCTTTCAGTAAATTCCAAAGTATTGTGAAATATGCATGCATTTGCAAATACTTACTCTTGGGCGAGTTGTGTAAGGTTTGTCTTCTGTTGGTCACTGAGTGCGAAATATGAGGTAATATTTTTCTCTAAAACAGTTGCCGCCATTTCAGCAGATTTTCGACTATTGCAAAAAATCTTAAATAGTAAAATTAATAAATAAAATCACTTGAAAACACACAGTTTTTCTAAAACTTAGTAGAGCTAGTTAATGTAAGTATACAATGCATATACATATACAATACATTTTGGAAAATCTAATAACACAAAATTACTATTCAATAAAAAAACATAATGAGGAATATTTCAGTTTACATAAAATAGTATATACTATATAAACTTAATTTGTCGGCGTAACTTACCAAAATATAACCATTAAAAACAAACGAATTCACTTACCAAAGTAGCTTTACACTCGGAATATTTGCGCAATATATCCATTAACTTATAATTGAGACTCATATCAAATTTAAAACCCCGTAAACTCCAATTAAAGCCCAGTACATGTTTCTCCAATGGCACAGGGCGATCTGCATCCGAGTAACTATTTTAGATAGTGAGTATAGCATTTATAATTATAAATGTAATATTTCAGAAAGTAAAAATCAAATTCCTTACACCAATTCGGCGACATTTTCTTGTTTAATCTTGTTGCCGTTGTTATAACAGTTTATGTTGTCAACAATACCTGTAATCCAGCATGTTATGTCATGTACATTTGGTATAGTAGCTGAAGCAACAACAAAACGCAACGGTTTATTCAAAACATCACGTGCAATAGTATGCATACGTGAAACTATAGCCTCTAATACGGGGCCACGCACATCTTCGTTTAACAAATGCACTTCGTCTATGAGAAAAAGCTGTATAGAGCCGATAACATCACGACAATCACGCCAATGACGTGTTAACGAATCCCATTTCTCTGGTGTAGTGATAATCACTTGAGCACTACGTAAACGTGCCAGTTCATCCAAATCACTATCGCCTGTTATGAGTACACAGTCTATGTCTAACTTTTCAAAGCGCGACTTCCAATCATTAAATCGTTCAGCACAAAGTGCCTTAATTGGTGCCACATACACCGCTTTGATTGGTATTACTCTAGTGGAATGCTCCTGAGCGCTGTTAGTACCATGTGAATGATCGAGTAACATACGCACGATGGCTAACTCAAAGGCTACAGTCTTGCCAGAACCAGTGGGTGCGCTAAGCACCACCGACCTGTTGGTGTGTAGCAACACATTTAAAAGGGACGATTGTACTGCATTGAAACTTTTGTAATGCTCGAATATTTGACCGAATGGCGGTGCTGCGTGAGAGATATATTAAGTAAACCGTTGTTAGAATAAAAAGGTGTTGAATTTTATTGAAAAGGATACGAATATCTGCAGAATTTTTAATTTCCATCCTTATTAATTGACTGCACACAAAGAAATTAACGGAAACGTCAAAAAAGTAGCGGTAAACTAAGCGCGGAAATTTAATGTAGGACTTGGCAGCACTGTTAACGATTTTCTTTGAATGTGGGAATGGGCTGAAGCATAGGCAGAGAACGTATATTTATAGAGAAGGTCCAACAACGGACAGGCGTGTAAACT